GGGATGAACGGGTTTAAGAGTTTTTAAGAGTTTAAGAGTTTTAAGAGTTTAAGAGTTTTAGTCAAATGCTTTATAATATAGTATAGATATATATTATGTTATAGCAAAAAATTAATTTAAGATCCCTAAAATTTTAATTTTCTCTTTTTTAAAGGAGTATCTTGGAACATCTTTAACAGATTTTTTAAAATACAGAAAATAAAGATTTTGGATAATTTTGTATTCCAACAGATCTTTCAAAATAACAAAAGTAGAAAAAAGAGTGTAAATTTCTCTAAATATAGAGAACTCTTGAAAAACGATTGAGAGAGAGAGATATTATGTTTTATTATATTCCATCAATAACCAATATTAAAATGAAATGTTTAGAAGAGAAATAAATATTATTCTATTAAATATATAAACATTTTAATAATATAATTATTGACCTTCTTTAAAATGGAGAACTTATTGTAATTAAATGTAATTATTTTTAAAGATTTCAAATTTTGATTCTCTATTTTAAAGAATTTAAAAAAAAATTTGTTTAAAATGCTCTTAAAATTGCTCTTTCAAAACTTCTATTTTTGGAACAAAGATATCACACCAAAATCCAAGTATTTTATTTAACTTAATAACATGCATCTCTAATAAAAAATCCAAAATGAGTACCTTCTATTATTTTCGTTCACAAATCCTACAAAACTTTTTGGGAAATAGAGAGTGAAATATCGACGACGGTAACATTTCCAAGATTGAAAAATTATTCAAAATTAAATAATGCAAAAAAATATTTTTTTATTATCACTAATTAAATATTAAGATTTCATGAAATTAATCATATTAATTTTTTAATTAATATTATAAAATTATCGATAGGAATTGAATTTACAAGATCTTTTTTACTTGATAGTCATTTATGGTAATTATTTCTCATATTTAATCATTAACAAACGATTTCTAATTATGATAAATTATCTTTTTAATTTAATATTTATTTTCACTGAATCAGATAAATATTTTATTTATGAAAAAACATTAATAACACCAAATAAACTTATACATGAAATCTTTTATATTACAAGAAGGTAAATAATCTAAATGTTAATTTAATTGAACGATAGGATTCTGACGGGATTTTAATATATACGCCGGAATATCCTCCTGATACGATGTCGTAGTAGGGCTCTGCAGTCGGGTGGCTTGCCGTTGACTCATTTGTCAAATTCTCTCATCTAAATTTCATTTTGATCCTTTGTATTGTTATAAATTTTATTCTGAACTCCTCTACTTTCAACATCAGCCAGATTTAGTCCTTATATAAACTTTTCAATGTTTTTAAGTGAATGATATCTATACAAATGTAAATTATGTACCATTTTTTAGGCCGTTTCATTTATGGATCTTGTTTTTATTGTCGGAAAATATAGAAACATCAATTAACATATATTCAAGTACCGGTACTATTGTGAATTCAATAAGCAAAATTCATGACAAGCTTACTGTATCCGATGAATTCCATCATTGTGACACTAGAAATCTTCTTTAAAAACAAACAAACCTTTGTCTAGATGCCAATAAACCAAGACGATTAAATCTATTTTGCTTTAACTTGTATTGGTATACCTGACATTCTATTTATATATGTGATGTACACTGGTCATAATATTTATGATATCAATAACATGAATAGCTAGGCATTTGTTATCATGGTAAAAATGCATTCTGTAAACGTACTATTTTAGATGGCCGAGGTTTTTTCTTTCCGAAACCATGCATAGTTTACAACCTTTGTGCATAACATTGAATATAGAGGGTTAAAAACGCAAATAGGTAAAAGTAGAAGGACTAAAAATAAGAGAATGCAGAATAAAAAAGGAGGAGGGCAGGGTGAGGGTAGAGTGGAAAGTCAGTAGAAATAAAATTATTACAAAAAAAAGTTATAAAAATGACTATAAAAAACCCTCCATCTCTCTCTCCTCTTCACTTGCTCTACTCCTCTCTTTCTCTCTCTACCCTCTTCTCACCATTTCCTATCCTCTCTTCAGCAATGCCACAACACACCTCTGCTTCTCTTCTATTTTGATTCCATAGAAACATAGAGGCAGCCTTGTTTTGGCATAATCTGTAAGCAGAGGGGAGGAAAACAGAGCAGTCTGTATCAAAATCATTCAGTTTATCAATCTGGGTAGAGAGAGAAACCCCCAAATCTCAACCACATTTAGATCTACTTTCCCCTGTTTTGCTCTGTTTCAGGTGAAGCTAGAGAGTGAAAATGGCGGATGTGGTATCCGGGAAGAATCTCATACCGGAGAGTTTTCCGGGGGCGTCGGTGGACTTGGCGGCACAAATTGGGTTGTTGTGGGACCTGATTAAAGCGCCATTGATAGTACCATTGTTGAGATTGGCCGTTTATGTCTGTTTGGCGATGACTGTGATGCTTTTTCTCGAAAGGCTTTACATGGGCATCGTGATTGTCCTCGTTAAGCTCTTCTGGAAGAAACCCGACAAGCGATACAATTGGGAACCCATTCGTGATGATTTGGAAATCGGAAATTCTGCTTTTCCTTTGGTTCTTATTCAAATCCCAATGTTCAATGAAAAAGAGGTTTGTTCTTCCGAGTAATTCCGAAATAAAATCACGAGTTGTTATGCTTTCCATTAAGAAATCCATGTTGGGGTTGTTATTTGTTAATTGAATGAATGATATCACATACAATACAGGTATACAAGATCTCAATTGGGGCGGCGTGTAATCTCTCATGGCCATCCGATCGTCTCGTGATTCAAGTACTCGATGACTCTACTGATTTTGTCATCAAGGTACAACTCCTTAAAGCCAAACAAACCTCTATCTATGATTATATATATCTACACAGTACTACCCATTAAAGCATAAAGAAGATTTCAATGATTGTTCATCACATTCACCCTTTTTTACTTCACATCATCGTTTTTCTGTTCCTTCATATTGTATTGGGTGATGAATCGGTTGGCTACCATTTATATGTAATAAACTAATCAACGGTTTCAAGATCCAAGATTTACCCAAATTTGGCTAAATTTGTTATTGACCATTAACACTGTTCCTCCATATGAAAGACAGTTTGGTAAATCCAAGCTTTTTTTAACAGTTTGTAACCACAGATATATTGTTTTACATTTATTGTATTCTAATTCATTAATGGCATCTACCAGTTTTTACTCCAAATGTATTTGTTTTTTATTTTATTCTAATTGCTAATTCTAATAATAATTTAATGCCATCATCAATTTTTTTGACTTTATGTAAATGATTTTAAACTAGAGAATTATCCCATTTGACACCTAAGAAAGATGCATCATATACATGGAGCTTTCATCAGACGACACTGGTTGCTTTCACATATACATATAATTAAGCTGGAGATCTTGTTTAGAAAAAGATAGCAATTATTGCATAGATTTTGGTCACCTAAATCATGATTCAGACACATAACTTGTTGTGTTTTATACATCATCTGTCTACAAAGATTGAATTTTGATTTGTGGTCAATTATAGAGTGTGATAATTAAGTGTGAAAAGGGTGGATTTGGGTATTTTTGATTAAATTGTTGTTGTTTAGGATATGATTGAGAAAGAATGCCAAAGATGGGCCAGCAAAGGGGTTAATATCAGGTATCAAATTAGAGAAAACCGAGGTGGTTACAAAGCCGGTGCTCTTAAAGAAGGATTAAAGCACGATTACGTTAAAGATTGTGAATACGTGACCATTTTCGATGCTGATTTCCGTCCGGAGCCTGATTTTCTGCGACGAGCCATCCCGTTCCTCGAGTTCAACCCACAAATCGCCCTTGTTCAAGCTCGATGGCGGTTCGGTAAGTGTTAGCACAGCTAAATCCTCATTTGGATAATAATTGGTGTTTCACTAAATGAATATAAATAGTTTATTTTTTTAAAACTGGAAATGAAATAGTAGTATTTAGAAAGTGTCGGTGGTCTCGTTGCCTGTTTAGAAAAAGTATATTTTATAGGTTGAAAAAGTCTAAAGAGGTATTTTTTTGAAAGTACAAGGATCAATACTTGAAATAGAGCATAGTACAAGGTGGTAGTTTGTAAATCACATGTAACGATTAGACTCCACTAATCACGGAAATCTCAGCCGTCCACTTGTCTTTCTTTCTTATTCCTTTTATTAATTAATTAATCAATCATCAAGTTATACATGTGTTTGAGCGAGTTGTACGTTATGCTGAGGAAGTTGTACTTTTTTTAAAGCAGAAACAGCTTTTAGAATACAAGGACAGTAGAGTAATTCTCCACTCCACGTGCTGTAGACTGTACATTGTCTTTTCCTTGTTAGATTGGATTCTGATTTTATATTTTACTGCCTCCCGACCCGATTATTATATTATTAAAAAAAAGATCTTAAATTTAAAAAAAATGAAATTTAGAAAAATATATATTGAAGATTAAAAAAAGGGGATGACGTGGCGTGGTTGTGATTCATATAATTTCGGCTGGGAAAATGACAAAAGAAAAGAGCTGTGTGTTCATGTGCTGAATGGCGTGTTGTGTTTGTGATGTAGAGACATGTGTAATGTAGCTCCTATTGGCTTAATGATATATGGCCCACTTCCACCCTTTTTTTTTCATTTATTTATTTTATTATATTATTTCTTTTAATATTTGTACAGTTATACATAAAGTCGAATTTTAATTCACTGTTTTTATGTTTAAAATTTTTGCAGTGAATTCTGATGAATGTCTATTGACAAGAATGCAAGAGATGTCACTAGATTACCATTTCACAGTGGAGCAAGAAGTAGGATCAGCTACACATGCATTTTTTGGATTCAACGGTAAAAACAAAACTAAAAACCATCATTTCAATAAACGATGAAAAGGAATAACATGGTAGTTACGGCAGGAACCGGTGGCGTGTGGCGGATTGCCGCTATCAACGAAGCCGGAGGATGGAAAGACCGGACCACGGTCGAGGACATGGATCTTGCTGTCCGAGCCGGTCTCAAGGGATGGAAATTTCTATATCTTGGTGACCTTCAGGTAACATTAGATTTACATCTTTTTCATCAATCTTTAAATAAAAACACAATCTTTGATGGGACCCATGTCCAAAAAACAATTGGTTTGCAAATTAAGAAGCAAACTTGATTAATGTTGTAGGTGAAAAGTGAACTTCCTAGTACATTCAAAGCCTTTCGATATCAGCAACATAGGTGGTCTTGTGGTCCAGCCAATTTGTTCAGGAAAATGGTGATGGAGATTGTTAGAAACAAGGTTAGTCAATGAATCTTGATCATTAATCTCGACTTATTACATAATCTTGACTATTATCGTTACGATGTTGCAGAAAGTCACGTTGTGGAAGAAGTTGTACGTGATCTACAGTTTCTTCTTTGTACGAAAGATCATAGCTCATATGGTCACATTTTTCTTTTTCTGCGTCGTTCTCCCCCTCACGATCTTGGTCCCTGAGGTTGAGGTCCCGATTTGGGGAGCCATTTATATCCCCTGCATCATCACCACCTTGAATTCAGTCGGAACTCCAAGGTATGTATGTATATATATAATTATGTTCAAATATTGGAACATTAGATGGTTATGGTTTTGTTTTTCAGATACGTGATCTTTATAATTCTTTATCGTGTTTCAGGTCGATACATTTATTATTCTACTGGATTCTTTTTGAGAACGTTATGTCCCTGCACCGGACTAAGGCAACGTTCATTGGATTACTTGATGCAAAGAGATCTAACGAGTGGGTTGTTACTGAGAAACTAGGAGATGCTCTCAAGAACAACAAATCAAATGCGAAAGCCGCGCCGAGAAAATTCAAATTCAACATCGGGGACAGGTAAAAACCATAGCTTTCTTCTTGTTATTTTCTGGGATTTCTTTCTTCATTTCTTTAATTTAATAAAAATTAAAACTTTAGAATCCATTATTATGTACTTACCTTGAACATGACCAAATCCATTTGGTTTTGGTAATATGACCAAATCCCACATCAACAACTACACAATTACCTTTGACTTTAATTGTTTTCTATAAAAAGTAATTCCAAAGTACACCCCAAATGTGGTGGTATTTGTTGACAGTACTAAATCTTTTGTTGGTCAATATTTCACAATGAATTTATAATAAAAAAAATAGGAATTATTGTTGATATTAATATTTTGCAATATTGGGTGATGTAGAATTCATCTTACGGAGCTTGGATTTGCGGCGTTCCTGTTCTTCTGTGGATGCTACGATTTTATGTACGGAAAGCACAACTATTTCATATACATCTTCCTGCAGACGCTCACATTCTTGATCGTTGGATTTGGATACGTGGGCACCATCGTCCCAAGCTCTTAAAAGGAATGTAGGGCGCGAAAGGGCGTACTTCATCTTCCATCTCAACTTATTATTCTCAGTATATACAATCTTTGATGAATGTGATTGAAACACATAGACGTTGAGAAGGCAGAGGAAACAGATGTGTTTGTGAAAAATTTAAGGAAAAAAATAGGTTGTTTGTTAGAAGAGCATAATTTAAGCATAGTATACAGTTGAGAATATTTGAAAGACGATGATGTTTTATTTGATTCCTAGTTGCTTTTGTTTTAAATATATGTTGGGTTGGGTTGGGTTTTTTTTAGATTTATGTTTTTGTGGAGGGAGGGGAATAATATGGCATTTGGCAATAGAAGGAGGACTAAGCTTGTAATATGCCATCAAATTCTATTCTACTCTTTCTTCTTTTTTATTTGTTTTGAGGGTTTATTATGTGTTGTAGTACAACTTCATACCATTAAATTAAAGAAATGTTTGCCCTCTCTTTTCTCCCAATTATATCATACCCACTTCATTTTTGCTTTTAATGCTTGTATTAATGCAAAAAGTAATACATGTAATTAACCACACCTAATGAACCACTCCTTAAATCCTACATAGAGTGGGATGTCAGGTGTGAGATAACATAAAAATAAAAATTTCAAATAATACATCACATATACATCTTTTATACATATGATATGACGAGATGTAAAATTTTATTGTAAACAAGAACGAAAAATTAATGAAATTATTTTTAAAAAATTAATGAAATTATTTTTAAAAAATTATTGAACATAAAAGCAATGATTGAATAATTCCAAATAATATATCAATACGTGTGTTAGACTAAACGTTATAACATTCTCATTCTTTTGATATAATTTTTATTATAACATCAAGTAATTTTATAAGATAATTGTAATAAGAAATGCATAATATATTGTTTTTAAGAGTTTATGAAAAACATTAATGGAAGGAAATGTTTACACAAATGAGGGTCATGTGCCAGAACATGGATGACCAGAAAACATGGTCCCTTTTTTAGGACTTGGGAACCTAAAAAATAATATGAATTTTAGTAGTAGTTTCATTTATACATGGAATGATAAGAATTACATATGCTGCATATATTGCCAAACAAATCCCATAATAATAATAATAATAATAATAATAATAATAATAATAATAATAATAATAATAATAATAATCTTACATACAACATTCCTATCCCAATATTACATCATCTCTATAAAGAATTTATGACCAAATAAACCCTCACCAAAAAAAATGAAACCCAACCCCCTACCAATACACCATCTAATCCTTGAAAAAGAATATATCCCCAAAAGGCCTCCAACTCAACCTTAAGCCCCTTGGGACTGTATAATAATAATAACTCTACAGTTGTGAGCATGGACATATTTAATCAAAGCAAACCTGCAAGCAAAGCCCCAGGATCTGATGCTGCAATCTGCGGTTGAGGCGGTGGCCTCGAGGCTGTGGGAATGCTAACCAAATGTTCCTTGATGAATTCTTTCAACCTATACAACCACATCAACTCAAACTCAAACTCAAACTCAAACTCAAACTCAAATTCAGACTCTGCATATGCTACTATCATCTCCTTTCAATATGAAATTCAAAACTAAAAACATACTCAAATGTTAGTGTCGGATCCCTTGATGCCACTGTCATGCGTAGTTGGCTTCTGTCAGCTGGATCCGTTTCAATTCTTACCTAAGTTGGAGAGGGAGAGACAGCTTCCGTTAGACAAGTAGAATGCACAAAAGGGATTGCGTGTTTGTTAGTAGTTTAATGAGCTTAATAGGACTCGGAGCTTATTCGGTCAGATATACATGACTGTTTGGTAGCGGCTTAATGATATAGGGAATGACTTATTCTGTAAGCTTCTAGGAATTATGTCTCTCCCAATTAAAAAATACACTCCTTCCATCCATGAAAAAACCCTCCCAAACAAAAACCTTCCCAGTCTATACAGACAGCTTGATCCACACAGACAGATTAATCCATACAGGACTTAATGGAAAACCAACCAAACAGCTCCTTAAACTCTTAAGCACCAATGGCAGTATGGTTGGTTTGGTGCTAGAAAAAAATTTATGCCACGATCAAAACAAACCTACCTTCGAACCAAACATGCATACAATATTTCCCTTTTTGCAAAGTTTCTATGAAAAATTACTTTTCTGCCCATAAGTAATCATTTACAAACCTTGATCATTTTGGTTTATGTTATCATTTCTACTGGGTGTTTTACATATTTGACTTGAAATTTTTTTATTAAATTATATGCTTAGTCAAATATTGTATTTATATTAGGACGGACGGAGTACACTATTAAATCCTCTCACCCTATCATCACTCTTTCTATTCATAACTGCTAATAATAAGAGAAAAGGTAAAACATCTTTAATTCTCAATCAGAGTGAAATTTAATGTGCTAAAAACTTGGGGAAGTTAGTAAAGTTTTAAACCTAAAGTAAAAAAGGTTGGAATTAAGCGATTTCAAAAAAATTACAGCCTGAAACGATATATATACTTACCAGACATAACAAGGCTCGTGTACTTTCAGAATAGAAGGTCGTCGTTGCAACTAAGTTACTTGCATTTGGATCCTGAAAATTACAAAGACAATAAGCTGGGCCACCAAAGTATGGTAAATTTGCCTCTGTTACTTGATGTAATAAGTGTGGAGATAGTTTTTACCAGTCCAGGGCAAACTACAAGCCTCAAACTGTTCAACAAATTTGCCATTTCTCCCAAAGACATCGGTCTTACACCTCTTACCTGTTCAATTCCAAACAGAAAAAAGAAGTTGCAATTTCCTCCCAGTGATGAGGTATAAAGAGAAAAAAAAATTCAAAATTAATGTAGCATGGTCCCCCTGCATACTGTGAACATCAAACCCCTGCCCCTTCTTCCTGTTTCCGATAGCAAGAAATATTCGTTTGCTTTCCGGACAGCAGGATGTCTGATTTTAGTACTGAGAAACCGATGATTGCATTCCAAGCAAGGCTAACCAGCTTGAGATAGAAAGTGAACATTTGTATACTATATTCTCTAGGAAGAACATGAGGGGAATATACGAACCACTTCTTGAAGTTTTAAAGGAGGTCCAGCCAGTAATCTCCACTGTGGAAAAAATTCCTCCGCAGATACTGGTGTAGGCTGAAAAAATTTGTTCAAGACTGCAGGAAGGCGAAGCTTATTATTAACCTGTGTCAAAGCAAAAGTAGAAAGTCAACACCACCAAATTAGAAATGTTGCATACATAGAGGGTCCCATTGATGAAGCGTAAGGTCATACCATATTGGTTCCAAACTTGTAGGAGAAGTCGAGAACTGCAACATCCCTACTTGGACGGATATTTTCCACTTCAAGTGGGCATTGAACCTAAGCAATTAAAAATCAAATGTATCTAACAGAGCTAGGATCCAATATTCAAAGAAGAAATATACAACTCATGCTCAAGTGCTCCCTGACCTGTGCTCGAGGAGGTATAATTTCCGGTACTGATGAGAGCACCAATTTCAGGTGGGATGGAGGCAGAATAACCGCTTGAACCGAAACAAGTGAAGAAGTAGTTTTGTTTCCCAAGAAGAGGACAAAGCTACCCTGATGAGCTCGCCACTCTGCTTTAATACCAATCTGGGATAATATTTAATCGGGCAAATCCCAATGTATTATTGATGTAATCAAGTTGCCATACTTGCAAAATAGTTGATTCAAACTTATAGAAAAGAGTACCTGAACGTAAGGATCCTCATATAGAACTCCACTATCTTTAAGGCATAAGGCATGAAATCTTTCTGCGACATCTCCTATTGGCTGCAAATTTGTCAATGCAAGGTTAAGGTTAGACACTCAAAACCAATTAAAATAGCATATGTGCAAGGAAAAGGGAGACGGTACCTTGACCACATTATCTTGCTCTCCAACAGGTGCAAGAGCTAATGCATCGTCTTCACTGAGTGGGCCTTCAATTCCAGAAACTATATTATGCTCTGATTTAGCAGATACACCAGGAGGTCCTTCTATAGCCAATGGGCTTAAAAGATCCCCAAGGATATCGGCATCAGGAGCATGGGTAGGGGGTTGTGGCTCAACTTCACCCAGAATCCCGTTGGCTTGAGTCAATTCTTGGTCAACAGAGTTATTTTCCTGGGAATATATTCAAGTTGCAGATCAACATGTAATCAGATATACAAGTATTAAATGTAAATATTTCCCAGTTCCTTGAAACCTCACCATATTGTTCATGCTAGGGATCTTAACCATAGCAAGTTGGCTCACTTGTGGAGATTCATTTGCAGGCCGCTGGTCTGTCACCACCAGAGCAGTAGAGGCCTGCTGCTGTGCCCTCAACTTGATAGCACTTAGCTCTGCAGTATCAGCTTCAGTGTCTTCGGCTTTCTTAATCAATGAGGACTTCAAAAAGATCAAGTCAAGAACAAACACCATGAGTGTGGCCAGCATTGTAAGAATGTGTGTGTGTGTTGACTATGTTGAAAAGTAGTCTGCCAACATGGAGGACACACTGAAGAAATGTAATCCTCCAGTACATATGAATTAATGAACCAATCTGAACCTATATATACCTCACGCTCAGGGAACTTGGGCATTTCTGCTAAAATATCCATCAAGGCTGCACCTTTCCTACTCAACGTGAGGTACTCAACAGCTCTTTGTTGTATCTCAGCATCAATACAGCTTTCATATCTGAATATGTCAATTTGTGTAAAATATTATCAGATTTTGCATAAAGCGATGAGTGTTCCAACAATAATAAATTGTATCACTAAACTAACTTGCTGAATATTGCCCAAATCTGATTCTGCAATTCTGGATCTGGTGGTTGTGAGTGCATCAGAATCTTTGCATATGTTGAGAGAAGGATGGAAATTGTAGGCGTCCTGAACAAATAAAGGATCTTCAATGATGGAGCAATAATGATCAGAAAAAAGTATAGCTGCATAGATATACGTACGATACAGTAGGAAGCTTCTCATGTATAATGCCAAAAATTTCCTTTGGAGTACACCCAGGTCGTCTGGCCAAAAGGTGGCTGTATTCTCCAAGCAGATAAGCACTAACCTGTTGAATGGAGAAACCCCATTATGACAATCAAATCAATCTACGGAGATCTCTGCTATAAACTAAAAATTTACTCTCCCCATTCTGAAATACAAGACAAAAATTCATTTTTTATTTGTTCCAAATCAAATGAAAAAGCAAATTTAGTATTAAGGCACACAAGATTGACAAGAGAAAAATATCAAATATATGAACTTTGTTAAACTAGTTTACATATAATTGATCCAAATAACCACAATTATCTCAGAAAACAGTAATAGAAATGCATTCACTCATATGCACATTAAAAGATGTGGTAATCCATAACTACAGATGATCAGAATATCCTTGATATGTATGTTTTTATCAAGATAGTATAATATTGCCAAACTCTCTAGGGAGTATATTATAATTAGTCCTTGTTACATAAGCAACCAGAAGCTTGATAAAAAGGACATGCAAACATAAATTTACAAAGGTAAAGGCATGCAACTTCTAGCATGAAAAGCCGATTAATCTAAACACATGTGTCACCACTGTGCATATTTTGAAAATGATTCCTGCTGCCAGCATATTACTTGACATATTACCATCAACTACTACATGCCACACTGGCAGATAACACCAGGCATTGGCTAAGGCATAGAAGCCTATATCATCTCTCATCTTTCCCTCATTGATCAAACATAGACGTATTTCTAGGTTCTCACTGCACACATAGTTAACTCTATTTGCATAAAACATATAAGATATAAAATACATACCTTAACCATTGTCTCATGTATTGCAGGCTTATCAAGATACTCCCTAGCTTTCAGAGCTGCATAAGGCTAATGAATTGAACAAGGAGAACGAGTCAGTGAGTCCTACGAACTTCAGTAAGGCAGCAACAATACCAAGTCGATGAACCAACTTTAGCAAGATATTAAGTTACCTGAAGGTCCTCATTGTTAGTTACAAATTGCACAACACGAAACCAAATGTCATCACTGACAAAGTCTCCTGCTTTATCAATCAACTGAAGAATAACATCCACATACCTGAACAGTCACAATGAAAGTGAAAAACAGAGAAAATAGGAAGGTGGTCAATGTTTGGTTCAATGACCATGATAACAGATGCATGCATCGTAAATATCTCTTCACATGCTTCAGTCTGAATGACAAAAAAATAATAACCACGACAATCACAGCAGTCCTACTTGGATTAACCTTAACAAGTTTCAACAATCGCCTTTAAATCCAACTCATCTAATGCTCAAGTAAACCAAGGTCTAGGATATCCGGACTGATTAGCCAACTTATTCCATGCACTTTACATTTGACAACAGCCCTTTTTATACCAAATTAGTTGGGTCAGGGTGGGATGAGCTAAAACTGAGACCCATGAGTAATTATATTAACATGAAATCCTCCAAGGTTTGAAGAACATGAATAGCACCATTTCATGCTGCATCATGTAAGACCGACTCATATGTTCTGGTTGTTCAAATCTCTGTTCACTACTCATCCCACATTACTTTGGCCTACCTCTCCTGATGCGCACTTCCGTTTGGCGATGCTCAAAATGTGCCACCCCGACCTTTTCAAGAGTACCATCATTAATGAATCATATCCATCCATTATGTCTGTTTGTTGCCAAACATTATGCTCCAGAAATCATGACGGTGGGTCTCACATTCATGCTACTGCTACTTGACTGACCATTCTCTTGTCGTATGACAAAAGTTCTCATTGATCTCCCTATCAACATGGCTGAAATTGCATTTCATGTAATTGGGTCCTGATCTTAAACCTTTGGATTCCATGGTAGTTATTACTTAGCAAATCATTTTCAAATATTCTATAAGCATGTGCATTAACATTCCAATTTCATAATCTAAACAAGTTGACAGACACAGTATGTGCGACTAAAACTTCTTTTCAATGAGAAGAAACTGATTTGTTGCCTTAAATATGCAAATATTATAGACATGACAAAGTTCCAAAAGTGAAACTTAAGAACGATTCGCATGGCAGAGTTGCCAGTCTTTTCATAAGCACTACCTCTTTTCTTCTGAACTTCACTATCAACCGTTCGTCAAGCAAAAAACTCATGTCAACTATCTACTTACTCATCTAGATACCAATAAGGTGGCTCTCAATCACTTGTATTGAAGCATACATCCAGCTATCAGCAAGCTTTCCATTTAAAATACCAAAAAGTTTCCAGCCTAACTCACTTCTACTGTAGGTGCAAGCATCCAGATCCATAATTTATAATCATATCTATTCATGAATGGCACTTGTTTAGCCAACAACGTAATTTATATTTATATACGGATCCTTAGCATCTGAACATTTCCTTTTTGTACAACACTATGAACAGATGGGAAAGAAGATTTTACATAGGCAACCATGGCCATTGGTAGAAGGTTAAAAAGCAAAACAATAATAGACTATGTAGAATCAAGATTAACCTATCTGACTAGTAGATTTGATTAGTAGATAAAAACAGCATACCACGATAAATCGGGGGCAAATTTTTCTGCCAGAATAGCAGCTTTTAATGCCAACTCTTCACGCATCGTAAAATCCGCCGTTCCAAGATACTGAAAGTTTTATTAAATCAAGGCCATATGAGCAAAAATCACCTGAAATAGAGTTAAGACACTTTGTATCTACCAACTGTTCTACCTGCAATAGTTCTTCAACGATGTCTTTAGCATTTGAAACATCACACATGCCGTAAAGTAGATCTAGTGCACGTCTCCGAATGCTGCATTTCAAGATTTAAAGTCAAAGAGAAAGGTGGATATGAAATTTCAAATCTCATACATCAAAAGGTGATGTGGAAAAAGACCATCACACTACAAGGTTCCCCTATCAAGTAAAAAGAAAAAGCAGCAACATGTAACCTCAAAGCGATTGACACAAGTTTAATCCTATCCCTTCTGGGTTCCAGCCCAGCCATTTTTCCCAGAGCATTAAGAGATGGATCCTAATACTTACATCAACTACAAAATCGACTCCTTCAGTCCCTCAAAATGGTCCAATTTGATGAGGTATATATGTTAATGACAGCTAATAGAATACATGAAAATCACTTATTAGTTTACACCAATAGCACCAATGGTGTTTACTTGGGACATCGATTAAAGGAAAAGTGAAAAGTATCAGGTAAAGCAAAGATTCCCCAATTAGCACATTACTGAATTCAACTACAAAAGTATTGAGTTACCACTGAGACAGAGATGAAAAAGTTTACCATACACATATCAAATAGAAAAATTAATAATGATCACTTTTCTAGCATGCAACATTCATAATGTGTAAAGATTTCCATAAATTCATAATGTGTAAAAGATTTCCAAATAAATACACGGCAGGCTGCTGAGTAAAGGATACACAGGACAATTACAGGATGAAAATTTCTCACGTATGACCAACACTGCAATAGGATAACTAACTTCATTTGCAGCAGACCACTGCCCAGTGTTCTGTGTGTGAAAGAGAATAAATCAAAGACATTGCCTATCAAATAGGACTGATGTTGAGCAGAGACTGTTTCCCCACCTATTTTATTTGTGACTGTCGGTGGAACTATTAACAGAAAGAAGAAAAAACATAAGCAATATGATAAATCAATTAGCATCAGTTTAGTTTAACCTGATGTCTGGATCCTTCAGTGAGGTGATAATTTGAGCTTGATGTCTCTTAATTATGTCCTGAACATCTGTAACCATCAACATTCGAGTCATATTCTCCTGCACGGGCAAATTTGACCAAATAATGCCATCAGACTATAGCAAGAAGATGAAAAGCCCTCGTATGCTTTGTAGTAGAAGCCTCGGCATTTAACATCGTTTCATTACTTCAATTACTTACCAGACCAAGATAACGGATATTTGGCTCACGGACAGCTATAAATTTTCCCAGCAACGCTACGCATTGAGACATCATCTCTTTTTCGGCATCAAGATGCATTACCTGTTATTGGATGGTTAAAGAAAAAGCAAGGATATATCCCGTATTGGATCTCAATACCAAAGTAGAGGAATTCAGTTTATGAACTAAATCTTTGGGAGTTGGGTGAATATATTCCTTACAAAGATAAACAAGAAAAATTAAAATAATCCGCCTTACAAGAGAGAGAGAGTAGGACTCCCATTTGAAAAGGACTGATGTTTTTGAATTCAAATTGTTCTCATAGCAATTCAAAAGAGAGAAATTTCCAAGATTAACTCTATGAAAGTAGAAATATTTTACAGCTTCAATATGCTGCAAAGACACTGACAGTCCAATACCAATTAGACTTACCCTCCGATTAAGCTATCAAAAGTTTTCTAGGAAATATATGTTACCAAAAAGCTACTGAACTCGAAGATATGGCATATATGAGAAACCCATTACTTGACTAGTTTAATATTTTATAAAATGGTATGTGGTGATATGCAATTGGGAAGTGAAAGCACAAATAAACTTTCTAATAAACTATAAGCTCTATTATGCATGAGTGGCTGTAGAGAGATCTAAACAGTGACACTGATAGAGAATGGCAAAATCAAGTTAACCGGAACAGAGGAGATTCAATGGAGAAGATGATGTAATTTTCATTAAAAAGATAAAAGCAATCAAATGATTGTCCAGGGAAGATCTCTCTCTCAAAGCTATGAGCTAAGAGCCAATACACTGGAAAAGAAATAACATAACATGCAAAAGAAAACGTCACTCCCTTCTATTTATTATTCTCTCTCCTCTAACTAACTCCTAGCCACACTCTGGAATTACCTCTATGCCCCTTCTAGAATAAACATACATTATCCTAGGCTTAGTGACTTTTGGTAATAATAAATCAGCATTCGTATCAGACACCATACAAGTTGAGACCATTGAACTATAGCCATATTCAGTTTAACATCAAGGCAACTTTCATAGAAACAAATAATGTCAAGATACAAACTTACAAGAGCAAGAGCTTCGAATAAGACAGCATGAGATGCATTGTTCTTATTAACATTTTTCACAACATCTGTTCCCATGAGTACTCGTTGTAGAACCTAAGCACAAAAACGATTCATCAGTGTAATCCTATCAACACCTTACTTGGAGAGAAGGAAAGAGGACCAAATTTCTCTTAAAAAATACCTCAAATAATGATCTTCTTGTGTTTGGATCTTCAACAGTTGGAAAATACTGAAGGGCCCTCATTGTTTTGACCTACATACCAAATACGCTTTTGAAAGTTGTTAAACATATCACAGCTATTTCAATCGAGACAAACTGAAGAAATAAACAGCGGATAACTATAACATCAGTTAGTTTAGATATAATTGCAAGAAAGGAGAAAGTAAAGGCCCACTGAAACCTGGGCATGATATTAGATTTCCATGTGTCCTTGGGTTTATATTGTACACTAAAGGTGGGACTGGGCCCCAACTACAGCTATTGGTCATTAAGTGTTCTGTAAGTGCAGTTTTTCATAGGTTTATTCTTTATTTACGTATGATGACTTGAATATTAGATAAGAATTAACTTGTAAGCTTTTTAATGATCTGTCAATGATCAATGCTTTCTTACAGGTCCACTCTAAGGGGCCGTTTACCTAAACACTTACCCGGTAAGCACTTACCGGTAAAATTCAACACTACCGCTTACTTACCAGGCAATATTTTATTCACTAAAACGCAACATATACAACAATTTATCCCGGTAAGCGCTAACCATGGTAAGAGTCCTCATCCTCACTTATCGGATAAGACTCTCAATTCTTGCCTTCGCTCTTACCGGGTAAGATTCTTAGTCTTTGCCATATTCATCCGGTAAAGTAAAGTGACTTGGTAACTGGTAAGCACTAACCCGGGTAAGCGTTTGGTAAATAGCACCTAACACAACCATCTAGACACTTCTACCATAGTTCTAGTACCAAATCTGGGCTTCAAATTTGACGTTGATAGAATTTTAAAAATTTACTCAATCAGTGCATGTAATAGGATATTAGTACTCCCTTCTGCAGAACTTTTACCCAGTCAAATAATTCAATGCTTGAGCCAAAACAAAAATCCAGCTTAGGATAAGGATCGTTTCAAATATCAAAAGGATCGTTTCAAATATCAAAGTACATGGGGTATTAGAGTTGATGGCATGACTCCTTCAAACCTTTTTTAGATCCCTTTCCTCACAAAAGTTGTGAAGAATTTACAATTACTTCAGGGTCATTTCACCATTTTTGTTGCGCAAAGAGCACTCATTTCATTCCCATGGTTATTTCAATCCATAAATCAATGATTTGGACAAAGTTTTACTCTCTGCCCCTCAATGCGAGCTAGAAAATTGGATAAAAGAGGCAGAAAGAGAGTGAAGGTACATGCGGAAACTCGCACAGCAATTAAGTCATGATTGCACCTTCATATCAAGTAGTAGATTTTATTGTCAAATAGAAAAATGCAACTAGATATCAAGTAGTTCCTGGACACTTTCTAAATTATTCTGATTCTGAAGCAATACTTGAAATTGTTCCAAGAAAAAGAAGTGGTGGACCCAGACCAAATTTAGCTCAGAACTCAACCACCATTGGACCTTGATGAAAAAGAGTTCAGAAGAAAAAGTGCACAAACCTGAAGCCAGGGAGAAGGAATACCATAATATGTGTATTCTTGAGGAACATCATGATTCCGAGCAAGCCTTTCCAACACTTTAACACACTTTGGAAGACAACTCCAGTATGCTTCATGGTTATTGGACACTAGAGCAACAAAAAGGCTCATAGATGATGTCAAAACACCAAGATTGCGTTCATCTAATAGTTGTGTCATCCGGTCTGACCTGCAAATTGTACCAAAGACAACAGTCACAGAAAAAAGTAAAAATATTCTAAGAAACACTTTATCCGAGACACAGGCTTACCAGCCATCTACATTCACAACATCAGGATTTTTCCTAAATAGCCTAAGAAGACAAAGTGCAGCTTTCTTTCTCACCAGTGGTCTGCAACTACTTGAGATCTGAGGTAAAAACATGATCATCATTTTCATTTATAAACTGCTAAATTCCAAAAGTAGTTCAAACTTACAAGTAACTTTTGAACATCAGGTGCTAGTGATTCAGCAAATTCTCTACCACCAATATTCCCAACCTGTAGATATGTAAAAGGTTTGTGAAATTATAACAACAACAAAAAGATCATCTGCTTTAACCTCACAATAGAAAGTGAACAAATGCCTGGACTAGAGCCACGAGAGAACGTTAAAGAGACAAAGAAATGAATTGTAATTTGTATATCTATGATAAAAGTAGGTACAATATAGCACCTTACAATCAGATATCAAAAGTAAATAAAGGTTCAGATACAAATTCTACAATCAATATTACATTATCTCCTTGTGCATCAGCTATTTACAGCACAAGGTACATGAAGACACAAACTTTAGGTCGCTATGCTGCAAAGTGGGTGGTTTCATGCACCATTTTTAGATGCCTACAGAGTTGAAGACCAAAATTTCTTAAAAAGGCATCTAAAGGCACTTTGTACTTCAGCAACTGCTAGACAACGATTATGCACTGCTTCCAGCCTAAACCTTCAAATACCTCATAATAAATACTCTAATTTTTTTGAGGTAATCTCAATTGGCTGCAATCAAATTAGCTGGTTAAAATTCTGATTAAGCTTCACAATCTTCTGATCCATCAAATGGGTTTGACCTCTGTAAAATAAGCTTAATAGACCTTCCAATAGATTGTAACTCAGTTTACCTATGCTTCAGTGTAAATGATAAATACGTTTGTAATTAGGAATAGATGTATGCTAAATATTGGTTAGGCTATTAATTTAGTCTCATGGTTGTGTTAATCTACCAACCAGCTTAAAGACCTCTGTAGATTATTACTTAATTCTGTTCAAAATCTATTTGGCTACAGATAAGCTAAGATGATATATCATAAATATGCCATGATATAATAGACTTATTTTGCACATATAGTTCCTTTATATATTTATCAATTTACCTATTCTATGGTGTAATATGACAAAATACCATTGCGAATCTGAAGTGATAGAACATCATACATGGACATTCAAGTACATATATAATCTAATTTAATGTCATGATGTAGTTCTCTTCATTCTGCGCAGAAATATTGTGACAGAGATAGCTATCCAACAGTAATACCAGAAAGTTTGAGGATGCAAAGAAAAAAAGCAGCCAAATCAGGTAAATGAAGGTGCAATGGGAGGTGGCTCTAAAACAGGGTAGCAGATGTAGGAAGACCTTAGAAATAAGTCAGCATCAATCCTTTGAGATCTATAAATCAGAATAGTTCAATTCATAAGTTTCTGATGAGAAAACCAGTTACTCACATTTAGAATAAATAAAGTCACATAGCTAGGAGTATAAAGGAAGATTGGTAGCACACAATCCCAATATAATCCTCGATGGCATTATGGTTTTGATAGGTTAAAGGAGAAACCGCTGTAAACAACCATTCATAACATATGCAGATTTCACAAATCACCAAACAAGTTGAAATGGGCACATGACAATGCCAAGACATGGAAATTGTATGAAATAACAATTATGCTTCTATATCCATACCAATGTCAATGCCAGGCACTGAAAAGTCTCGTTGCGGCCAATAATATCATTGCGAACTGTATTAATTGCTAATCTTAAAAAATCATGATTCTCGTTAAGCAAGCATGATGTCACTAAATACCCAACCTGCATAAATCACATCATAAGAAAATTAAAAACCAGTTTGTTATACACAGATCAAAACAACTTTACAGCATACATCATATAAACCAGCATTAAGGAACGAATATCTACTAATATACCTGCTTTTCTGGATATTTTGGTGCAGATATCAAAGAAACGGCTTCCATATGACCAAAGTCTACATCATATCCTAGCATAAATATGTAAAGCATTTTCCAAACATATTTCTTCTTGTCATATGGCGTCAAACCCTGTCAAAAGAATAAATGAAGAATTTTGACGTTGATATCGTACACGATTGAAAATAATTGATGGTCCATAAGGTGTTAGCACATCAAACAAAAAATTACATCATACAAAAAACTAAAGTACGTACATAGAAAATCCCATCAAGTAAGTTTGTGTGCAGGGTAATTCTACTCCTACAAAGATACTTGCATATAGTGCTCATTCTTTTGGTCCTCCAAAATCAACTTCAAGGTACCTCCAATTCTGGATGGCAATGATCCACAGAGTAAAAGACAGAGATCCAACCATTCTTTTTTAGAGCATGCTCCTATCACCATTCACCGGTAATCAAGTTCCAAACTAAGAATAGGTTTAGGGATCACTAACTAGCCATATGTGTAGCTTCATGAGTCAGAGTCATCCAGGTTTTTCTAACAAACGTTCACACAGGTCAACTATGTCGTTTACCTTATCCTCATCATGATATGTCACCTGGATACCACTCAAGTACTGAGTCAGCTATAAGTAATCCGCATAGCCAAATTCATATTTTTAATTATTATTACCATAAATGTCAAGTAGATGCATATGGATTAGTATTCCTGAAATCCATATATATCCAATTGTACAAGAACTCACATGCAAATATGGTTGGCTTTAAAGGTTTTGCTGTTTTCTTACGTGGCTTAGATAATGATTCCCCAAGATTCTAGTTTCAAATCTTCAATGCTTCATGTCCACTTGATTAGCTTTGCAGTGATCTACACTGTGATAAAACCTCAGATCATCTGCTTTGGCAATGGTTCCTTTGGCTCTTCTCTATAAGCTTTATGGTAGTAGTGTTAGTACTCTTTATAGTATAAGTGTCTTCTTTTGTCTTGAAAACTAAAAGTGAAAGCCCAATGGCACCGACGTGTACTTTTAATATTTTAAAACCCAAAAGCTAGTATTTTCTCCTCTCAATCAAAAAGTATGGTTTGACCCTTCCTCTTCCTCTTCGTGCAAGCAACTATTTTTTCACACCCTCTCAACCTATCTCACGGTTTCACTCTTTCCTCTGTCAAGAACCACTCAACCAGCTCCCTTAGTAATTCAACATATATATACACACACACACACACACTAGAAGGGTACTCGCGCAATGCAGCGAGATACATCTCGATTTTAATGTTCTACTTTATTCTTTGTTTCTGTCGATGTTATAATACGATTTTATGTGTTTTTAAGAAAACAATAATGATTTTATTTTGAATAAAATATAAATTTGAAGATACCATAAAAATTTGAAAAAAATATATCAATGTTAATATCAAATCAACTATTTAAAAGTTCTCATTTTTTATGTAATTTCTTTAATTTTTTTTATTATAATTTAATTTAGGTTTAATAATGAAATAATTTATTGTTGGTTTAATAATATAACATTTTATAATATTAATAATTAAGTATTCTGTTAGAATTTAATGATTATCCTAATTATATTTTATATTTAAAATAAGATGTTTATACTGTATTTGATTATGTTTATTTGCAGTTAGTTACACGAATTCAGATATAAAGCTTTAATAAGTTGTACTTACGCACAATCTACTTGTAATCTTGAGTTTTAAGTAACATGCATTAATAAATAGTACTTTATATATAAAAAATGGTTTTTAAGAGTTTCTGTCAAATGCTTTATAATATAGTATATATATATATATATATATATATATATTGTGTATATAAATGTGTGTGTATATATATGTATAGTGTATATACATATTTTGGCCTCGGGGCTTACGCCTCACCTCGTTGAGGAAAAACGCCTCGAGGCCCAATTCCGCCTTTTAAAACCTTGCCCCTTTCTTCACTAAATGGTTGCTTCTCTACTTGCTGACTTTGATCTACTTCTCCTCTCAAATCAATGTTGCCTCAGTCGATGCTTCTCTCCTCGTCACTGCTCCACCATTGTTGCATCTCCATTCTCCACCATCATATTAGAATTAATTTCCACCGCAAATCAGTGCCTTTGACCTTAAATGTTAATCTATTTTTCTTCAAACGCATTATTCTTATCTTGAAATATATTCAGGTATAGGAGCATGGATTTGTCAACACTGCAGTCGAAAAAAAATATGGCCAGTGAGGACCTCATATAAATGGACAATGACATCCACAATCTTCACTCCATATCCAGATGTTAGATTGTATTCTAGCCCCTGAACTCCCTCTATACTACCGTTCATTTTATTTTTTGCCACGTCTCCTCTTGAGATGGCAAATGGTTGGAAGAAAAATGGAATGTTGTTTTGGCTTAAACATGTCAAAGCAATGATCAGGTAATATAGGATATGGTTTGTCAATACCCCTCCAAAAAAAATCCCTTTTCCTTCCTTTTTTCCATTACATCTTCGCAAAGCCAACTTTGTTGAATGTACATTCAGTAGATATATATTTGGTTAGATGTATACTTCGTGAATGATATACGTCCATATAGGATTTATTTAAAGTATGATTTACTTATGCAGGAACAATTGATTTTGATTGATTCACTATATATCATGGGATTCCCCTTCGTAATAAATGATCAAATTATAACCCTTATATTTTGTGGCATCATAACTATGATTCCACTCTAACCCTACTTAAATAACCTACTCGTACTATAGTTTTTATCATCCAAAAAGACAGTTCTAACTCAACAGAAGAAAAATAAAATAATAATCATGATGATGGTAGTATAAAGCGCCACACAGGAAAGTGAATAGCCCGGTTCTGTAACAGACCTGCATTTCCTCTCCGATAAGAGAGAAATGAGATAAGGGCCCAGGCTTCTAACTAGCTGAAGTTGATGTTGCTCTTCCAGTAACAAAAACAATACTTGCTAACAACTGTTGCAGCTAAAACAACCATACATTTCGAATCCACCTTCCCAGTAGTTGTTGCTACCCAGCGCTTCTCTTTGGTGGAAGTAGTGAGCTCACCATAAGCACACCAACCGACCGGGCTATTCACTTTCTCGCGAGGCGCTAAAGCGCTAGGTAGCAAAAACTAGGTTACTACGATGTTATGTAGTAACACACTGAGATAGTGAGGTTATTTTTCTGCTTTGCTTATTACTTTTAACTACTATTATGATTATTGTTTTTCATCACTCCATATATATGTTAATATATGACGTGATGACAATGGTGTTAGTAGCAGAGCCAAGAAATGGTACGAGGTGGAGCACCAAATAGAATAAATATTAGAAAAAATAAATATTAATTTTCTGAAAATGGCAAAAACAATCATATTATATTGATGAAATACCGACCTTGACAGATTCAAATGGTGTATTGGTTTCCATACTATTAAAAAATTTATTATCTGGCATAGATATGAATCACAGATTATTTTCCTCTTTATTAGATACTTATCCATGGCTGTTAAATGTTAAACTAGTTGATACAAAACTAACTAAAATGAACACTTGACAAATAACAAATATGAATTAACAATATATAAATAGGCAACCCTAATCGAATCAGTTAAAATTACGGACCAAATTTCAATTTAATTATGCCATAAAGATTAGATGGCTAGAACTCTTTTCTTGATTTGCGCTCACAATCAGCATAATTTAAAATTTAAATTCATCAAGAACAATGTCAATCTGGCAGACTGGCAGTATTCAGCTATGACTCTACTATATCAAAGCCTAAACTAATAAACTATTGAGCCTATTAGGTTATTAGAATAATTATCTCTTTTTTTCTTATGATGAAAATCCTAGAGAAAGTAAACATTTACATATACATAGAAAGAGAGAGGGAGGATAAAACGAGTACGATACCTATTTAAAAGAACATGAAAACAGGCGAATCACATGTGATTTTACACTAACATCACATACAAATTCACATGTGGTTCAGGCGACCTTGCCGGGAGATCTGAAGACGCAGTCACAAGTCGCCCGGACACTTTTTTTACCACTAATGTAAAATCGCATGTGATCTTGCACGTGATTTGCCCATTTTCATGTTCTTTTAAATAGGTACCGTTCTCGTCTGATCTTGCCCCCCCCCCTTCTCTCTCTCTCTCTCTCTCTCTCTCTCTCTCTCTCTCTCTATATATATATATATATATATAATTGGGTTGATTGGTAATATTTGCTTTTAGAAATCAAGTTCCATTTTCCAAAAATTGATCAAAATGCAAAAGCATAGGTGCTCATTTGACTCATGATCATCACTTTATTTTTATGAGGTGCCACTCTTCACCGCTCAGACTTTCTCTTTCTCCCACATATCACATATTTTCTCTTCTCCTTTTTTGCATCTCACCAAACAAACTTTCTCTTTTGAACAGTGGATGCAATATTGCATTATCAACAATTGTTTTTTGAAAAATTCAAGGGGAGCAGCTGCACTCTCTCGCTCCACGCGGCTCCGCTACTGAATGGTGTGAAAGGATGTTAAGGCCCAACCCAACACCAAGTATGTGGACAAAGAGTTCTATATCGAATAAGCCTTAGTTGACTTGACATTATGACCAAGTCTGTGTGGACAGTGGACTGCTCAATTCAACCTGTCTAACCTTCTCGATATAGCATTTTTTTCTTCAATTTCCAACTTGTTCAACCCAGGACCGAACTTCGTGAGACCAAATTAGCAGCCCAATAATTTGCACCGAGGGTTGGAACAGGTGGTTCTATTCTATACCTCCTGGATCGTAATGAACGACCCTACCCACCTCGTCTTATGGTCTCCCTTTGATGGTCATTGTTCCTTGTTGGTGCATCCAGAGGAGTGTTCTCTTAATTCTATCCAACACCTACCCAGCTACTGGGTTTTAGATATCCTCATTTCAAATGGTTGTTGCCATAATCTACAAGCTTGAGTGCTCTCTTAATTCACCACATGTATTCACGTTTAAACATTGTACATACCTACCTTTGGGAGGGATATACGGATCTGTTTGGTTTGGTTTACCTTGACGCCGCCTTTTCATCACTTCAGCTCATTGTCAGAAATTCTCTACTTAACATCCAAAAACCCCTCAATTGACCAAAAACTAAACCTAAGTTGCAAAATTCACTTGGCCTAAACTTTAACCTAAACCAATTCTCATGTTCAGTTACAGCTACCACGTAAAATGTACATATTAAAAATTGAACTTTTCAAAATATCTTCCCAATCAGCATCAGCACGAGCATGGTAGGAAACAGAAAGTCGGAGAAGATGGAACCTTACCTTTTCATTTTTGAAGCGAGTACGGATATTGCCAAGCTCTTTATCAACACGAAGGCGTTCTTGTTCTTTGTTCTGACAATTACGGATTTCGGAGATGAAGACGGAGAGACCTCTCATACCTGACAGCGCCATCTCCGGTAGACTCGGATCAGATCCAGGCGAGCAGTGTTTGTCTCTCTAGATTCAAGCCGTTTGTTTGTCGATCGAATCCAATTTCAATCAGAAAATGCAGTCAACGTGAAATCAAAGTATAGATTCAGAGTGTGATCTAGAGAGAGAGAGAGAGAGAGAGAGGGAAGAGCCGTCAGCCTGTGACAATTCGACTGACTTCCCGTTTACCTTCTCCTTCAAAAAATTTACAACACCCCTTTCCAACTATCTCCCATATCCTTCAACTCACCAAAAATCCAGTATATGTTTTTCAAAACTAGGGTCCAAAAATATCAAATTCTTAGTCAAAATTAGAATGTCTAAAATTTAGAAAATATAGATATTGTACCTCTTTTTTTGTCGATTGGAACCTCCAGAAGGGAATTTTCTTGAAAAAAATTAAAAATTTTAATTATAAAAAATATATGTGTTATAAAAGACTCGGTTGTCATGATGCACTGTGACTCAAGACTTGTATTTGACATTACGTTAAGTATATGACACGATATGTGGTTTTTGTAACACGGTATATGATTTTTATTACATGTTTAATATTATTAAGTCATTGAGTAATAACATAAAAAGTATGTTTATGTATATATCATATTATTGTGATATAGAGATTTATCATCATAACTCACGTCTTGAAAAATAAAATGGTCTCGTTATGGTTCCTAAAGCTTGAGATTTGGTTCATCACCATGTCACGTTTCACACTGTTTAAAACCTTTAAAAATATACTTAATTAGTTTTTATATTTATCTGGAATATGAGAAAAATATAAAATTAGTGTTGTATAGAAGGTTTTTTAAAAGTTTATTGTAAAATTATATGTATTAAATATTTAACTAATTTAATTAAATTTATAATTTGTACAACGAATAAACTATTAGAATTGAATGTAATATTTTTAAAGTTATTGTCTTGGTTTTCTTACTTCATTTTCCATTTATTTTCTTAAAATATCATCAATTCTATAAATCAAACATATTCTAAAAACATAACATTAACTATCAAAAACTCCACGAATAAAAAAATCTCGCTTTCACCATATGGTTGAAGGCCATCATCATAATTGAACTGTATAAAAAAATTCATGACGATAAACGGACATGACTTAAAGCATCATCACAACATCAATAAAAGCTTGAACATGAACATTACATTTATTAATGCGTTATGATACATTTAAATTTGCCTGAAATAAAAACTTAAGAAAAATTCTTGATTAATGACCCATTTGATAACCAACTCATATCAAATTGTCGGTTTTTCATCGATATTGATATATTAATACTATTTGCTCATTCTTAAGATACAAATTATTAATTATTCTCAAAGATAATTGTTAAAATTGTGTGTGATTTAGATTTAATCTTATAGTATATGAATGTTATATACTCTTATAAAGGTAAAAATAGATAGAGTTGTATATTTTAGGCTATGTTTGGCAATGTTAAGCTAGATGGTTGTTGATATAAATTACTTGTTAGTTTATAAGCTATATGGTATCTGATAGGCTAGTTGATGAACAAATCATGTTTGACAAAAACTAACCGATAAAAATGTAAAATAACCAAAAGGGACGTCTTAAAAATTTAATCTATTATAATATTCCAAAATATAATTGAAACAAATCTCTAATAATATAATATTAATTAATACAAACAAGATGGTAAAAAAATAAAAAATTAATTTTTAATTTATATTAGTAATATTTAAATTTTATCAATATTTATTTATAATTAACAATAACAAGTAATAATTAATATTAATATTAATAATGGTTATAATTAGAAATTTTGACTATAAGTTACCAAATTCAAAATAGCGTTTCAATAAGTTAGTTTATGTACATCCAAACGTATACACGTAAAATAAAGTAACTTAGTTTTACCAAACAATGTCTTAATCAATGTTTTTTTGCTCATCGCACTTGCCAACTTTCTATGTATTTTTTTTATTATCTGGTATATTTTGTTTACATTATAGTTCACAATCTTACATAAACTGGACTTCTTGAATGAAACCAATGTTTTACTCTTTGTGGTGGATAATAAGAGTGTGTTTATTAGCATCTTAATAAGGTTAACGGAGCTTACAGTTTAATCAATTTTACATGACTGTTTGGTAGTAACTTTATGATATAAAAAATAGTCTATTCAGTAAGCTTATAGGGGGACTTTATGTAGAAAGTCAGGTTTCTTACAAACTTGCATTTTCGAATTAAAAACACGATCCTCCATATATGAAAAAACTCTTCCAAGCAAAAATCCTCCCAATTTATATAGACGTATTGATCCACATAAAAAGTTTTATTCATACAAGACTTAATGGAAAACCAACCAACCCCCCCCCCCTCTTCCCAAAGCCTGTTTACATCCTAACCTCTCCCAACACCCTATTATCGGACGAGATTTACAAGACTTGTTTGGTTTAGTTCTCGTTTACATCAATTGAACTTTCATAATTCTAAAATTATTGATCACATGATTGTATCTTCATAATCATATTGATCACATAATCTACATATCAGATTCATCGTCTATTTTGCAACATATTTTTCCAAGGAATTTACTCCAATAGTACAAATGAGTCTTGTACGTAAGACTAGTCGGAAGGGTTAGAAATGAAAATTACATAAACATTAAATCATGTCAATTGAGTGTTTTTACGCAAAAGTCGTCACTCTCATTTACCTTGTCGGATAGCATGTGTGGTCATAAAAACGTAGCATCTTTTACCCGACAAATGTTAATTGGATAAGAGTTGATTTTCTCTTCCACTTACTAAATAAGATTTTTGGTTCCTACTGTGCTCATCCGATAAGGTAAGTGACAACAAGTGTGTGCTTATCGAGCGAACATCTGGTATATGATCCCTTACCTTACAAAGTTTGTAATCTAGAAGCCTTTTAAGTCATTTTATGAAATGGTAACTTGCATTTGATACAACAATCAGTGGGCTCGAGGACTATTCTTGTTCATCATCAAAATCTTTAGATCGTTTTTGACAAAAATAAATAAATTTTCAAAGTAATGTACGTTATATGAAAGGTTAATTTCAAGAAATGACCATGAAATTCTAATTTATAAGTTGGTATCATATTTTAAGATAATAAAAAAAAAGAAACTTAATATTTACGTAATCATCAACAAAGTAGTTGGATTTTATTAAAAAAAAAAAATGGGTTATATATATGCAACGGAAACCGGTTTTTTAAGACAACATTTTCTTTTGCAAAATAACTGATATGACATTGATGTGGTCTTAATATGTTTGGTTCAAGTTGGGATAAGAATGAAAATAAGAATCACATAAAATAATAGACGAGAATGACTTTTTCATTTCCCCAAATTTAACCTGAAATTAAAATTTAGAGTTCTAAAACAATGAACTCATTATATTATGCTAGAAGAGTACTCGTGCAATGCAGCAAGACACATTTTAATTTTAATGTTATATTTTATTATTTGTCTCTGTCGATGTTATAATACCATTTTATGTGTTTTTAATAAAATCAATAATGATTTTATTTTTGAATAAAATATAAATTTGAATATATTATTAAATTTTTTAAAAAATATATCAACTATATAAAAAGTTTTATTTTTTATGTAATTTCTTTAATTTATTTTTTTATTATAATTTAATTTAAGTTTAATAATGAAATAATTTATTTTTGATTTAATAATATAATATTTTATAAAGATAATAATTAAGTATTATGTTAGAACTCAATGCTTATCTTAATTATATTTTAGATTTTTTATATTTAAAATGAGATGTTTATTATGTTTATCTGCATTTAGTTACACGAATTCAGATATGGAGCTTTAATAAGTTGTACTTACGCACAATCTACTTGCAATCTTGAGTTTTAAGTAATATGCAATAATAAACAGTACTTTACGCATAAAAAAATGGTTTTTAAGAGTTCTTGTCAAATGCTTTATAATATAGTTAGGTTATGCGTTTTTAAGAAAACAATAATGATTTTATTTTTAAATAAAATATAAATTTGAAGATATTATAAAATTTTGAAAAAAAAATATATCAAATCAACTATTTAAAAGTTTTATTTTTTATGTAATTTCTTTAATTTATTTTTTTATTATAATTTAATTTAAATTCAATAATAAAATAATTTATTTTTTGTTTAATAATATAAATTTTTATAAAAATATAATTAAGTATTCTGTTAGAACTCAATGATTATCCTAATTATATTGCAGATCTTTTATAATGAAAATGAGATGTTTATTCTATATTTGATTATGTTTATCTGCATTTAGTTACACGAATTCAGATATATAACTTTAATAAGTTGTACTTACGCACAATCTACTTGCAATCTTGAATTTTAAGTAATATGCATTAATAAACAGTACTTTACGCATAAAAAGTGGTTTTTAAGATTTTTTTATCAATTAAGCAATTTTTTATAAACTAGAAGGGTACTCGCGCAATGCAGCGAGATACATTTTAATTTTAATATTTTATTTTATTCTTTATCTCAGTCGATGTTATAGTATGGTCTTATGTGATTTTGAAAAAACGATGATGTTTTTATTTTTGAATAAAATATAAACTTGAAGATATCATTTTTGTGTAATTTTTTAATTCAATTTTTTATTATAATTTAATGTAGGTTGAAGTAATTTATATTTGATTTAATAATATAATTTTCTTATAAAAATAATAGTTAATTATTTTGTTAGAACTCGATAATTATCTTAATTATATTTTAGATTTTTTAGATTTTAAAATTAGATGTTTATCATCTATTTGATTATGTTTATCCGCAGTTAGTTATACGAATTCAAATATTAAGCTTTGATAAGTTGTATTTATGTATAATTTACTTGTAATCATGAATTTTAAGTAATATACATTAATGTACACTACTTTATGCATAATTTTTTTTAAATTTTTTTATCAAATACTTAATAATATAGTATAGATTTTGATAAAAGAAATAAAATTTCTTCTCCTGAAAGCAAGAAAGTTGATGGCTTCTTGTCATTTTCCATTTACAAGAAGTCAATAATTACTTGTTTTACGGTCCATGACTTTACATGGAAAAAGCAATATTTAATATTGTTATTTATAAAACACTAGAAAAATATTTGTATAATACAACGAGATATATATATATTTTTTAATTTTTCGTTTTTTTGTGTATTTCTTTAGTTCATTTTTTATTTTTAGTTTAATAATAATAAAGATAATAATTAAGTATTTTGTTAAAACTCGATGATTATTTTAATTATATTTTAAATTTTTTATATTTAAAATGAGATATTTATTTACAATTAGTTACACGAATTCAAACATAAAGCTTTAATAAGTTATACTTACACATAATTTACCTGTAATCTTAAATTTTAGGTAATATACATCAATAAACAATACTCCATATATAAAAAATAGTTTTTAAGAATTTTTGTATGATGGACCTATTACCCTAAGCTTATTAATTTCCATACTTCACCAAACTGGGGGGAATGAAATTTTCTTCCAGCTTAGTCCTCCTCTCGATATTAGATGAAACATATTTTCTATTTTCAAGTTGGACGAAATATATTTGCATTAAAAATATTATATAAAAACAATTTTTCATTGATTATACTAGTTTAACCAAACATCAATGCAATCAGAATTAGTAAATTACTAAACTACCTATGTCACCTTAAACCCTAAAATCTTCTACAATTCTTTAATCCGTCCATGTGATTATCACTTGTCCATTCCAGTCTTCTCCATGTACCACACACACCCGACATACTCAATATCTTCAAAATTCTTAACCCCTTTGTCAATTATTTTATTTCATTCATCACCATTCTGTACCATGCCCCTCTCTTTATTGGATTCCCCCAAAAATACAGATTAAAAAAAAACACAACACAATACATAGAATTGTCTGTCTCCAAGACTAAAGAAAGATGGCAGGCTACAAATTGGTGAAAAAAACCAGGTTGTTTACCTATAACCAACTGGGAAAAAAGAGCAGGCCAATGATCAAAATTCTACATTCGAGTACAGATGCTTCGGTTTACTGTACACCACTCCATCTAGCCCAGTCTACAAACTGCATTCCACCATAGATGTTGTTTGCAAAACGCACGCCAATTGTAAATGCCATTGCCACCACTGGAACCTGTTTCACCAAAGGAGAAGCTTCCACCAAGCTTTCCAACCCGTTAATGACTTGATAACGGGTATTGGAAGACACCGCAAGGAACACACCTGCATAATTGAACGATAAGAACAAGCCAAAAAGTTGTAATTCGTCCAATATGTGAATGAAAAGTAGTTTAAATGGTCAAGTTCAAAAGTCCTCCAATAATTATTAAAACAACATTCATCGCTACCATCACAGGTCACCAACAAGCTCACCAAAATTCATATATGCACACACTTTCCTCTCATAGTTGCACTCTCTTCTCATAAGAGAATGTAAAAAGTATGATGATAACATAAATGATATTCTTATATAAAGCTCCCTCAACACATAAATTTGCAATAAAAAAAGAACATGTGCCCATGTTGCAGCACGACTTGCTTGTTTCATGCTACAACCCCATCCATATAACGGGCACTAAATTTGCAGGACGCTGCAGCTAAAGCATAAAGACACTGATAATGAAGAAGGATTCAGAATACATACCCCAAAGAACAGCACTTTTCACCAAAGGGGGCACAGGTACATTTTCTTCTGATGCATGCATCCTCCTGAAATTTAGGAAATGTAGAGATTATACCCCCAAAAGAAGACGATCTCTTTTGGTTGTCCATAGAAAATGCTATGCTTCCTTCCAAATAGATTTCTTTCAAATCTCTTATTTGCCAATTAACAATGAGTTCAAGATAATGGTGAGGTATTGATTATGACCCCCTGCGTTTTCTCCATTTCATCAAAAGGGTATTTTAGATATTTGATTACCAATCAAAGCCTTTCAATAAATAGGATTTTTCGAGACCGAAGGGAGTAATTAATTTCCTTTAGCATAACATTTGGTTTTCTAATTTGATGAAGAATGAGTCAGGTGACAGCATACCGTTTGGCGTTCATAATTGCATTTGCAATTCCTTGGCCAATAAGACCGCAGCCAAATCCAACTGAACCATACAAGAGGCCCTGGATACATAATTAGCAAAAACACAAGTCAGAACTAGGAAACAAAGAACCAGTTTAAGATGAGAGGACTTGAAGCAAGTTAAGGCCAACAATGTATGCAGTAATTTGCAGAATAACTTGTAAAAGATGGTGCAATATCTACATGAATCATTAAAGACATTAATACACCTTGTAAAAATATGTAGCAAGCCGCTGCTGTGCTGAAAATCTACACCCTGGTCTCTCAAATTCAAAGACACTGCACAATAAACACAGTTTAAAAAATTATGAAAGAAATCAAGGCGTGGGGCTTGGAAAGACTAGAACAAATCTACAAACAAAAAAATCCTCAGCAGTCTCAACCCCCAAGTAAATTCCAGCTAGTAGATGCAACCAGCCCAAAAAAGAAAGGATTTTGACTAAACATTTGTCCACCTAACGTGTGTATACATCATGTTCATGTGATAAAACTGCCAAGATAGCTTGGATCCATATGATTTAAGGCGATAAATCACCAATAACAAGAGAGTTTCAAGGGGACTGCTGCATATAGGGAATAAAAAAACTAACATGAGGTCATAGTAATACGATTGCTACTATCGTTTGAGCATAGGACATTATCTTTCTAACAACATGGAATGTCAGAAAAAGAATACCAGTTTTAGAAGATGAATTAGCCTTCAAATGTAAGAACAAAGAATGACCCCGTGTGCACCAAGCCTCCTCGTATACTTAAAAGGGATGGAAGTTTAAGGTATGCAAAAAACGACTATTCCATGATTCAAACCCATGACTTTCAGGTAAGAAATGAGTCACCTTCCCCTGACTAAGCATCAAAACACCCTACAAGTATGTCTCTCCTACTCCTGAAAAAGTAGTTTAATACCTGTGATACATGGAGATTCCTCGCTTAATGTCTCTAAAAACCAAGTTCACATTCCCAGCATAATGTCGTCCTCTCCAATGAAAAAAAGTCAACTCTAGATGCATATTTTCGAAAAGAAATTGATTGTCGTATGGGTATTCCTGCTTGATTGAAAGCTTTTGGTCTATTATTATAAATAGATTTTCTCAATGAAATCAAGTAACTAGTACTATATTTTTTTTTGTTAGGCCACTTAATGCATTTAGCGAGGTTATTTCTTTAGCCATTGGACCAAGTGGGGACTGAAAATTTTTATAGCAGGCTTTATTACTTTATCGAGGTTTATCTGTAGGAACAACCATCAATGTTAATGTTACTTCTAATCAAACATCCAACATGTTGCATCAGGTACTAGGGCAGCAAGAAGCATGTCCATGACTAGGTTTAGAATACAGAATGTTAATAACCTGCTTGGAAGAGCTGCAACAGAGTTCTTTAAGCCACTAAATAAACCACCACTTGCTATTGATCGCTTTCCAATGCGAGCGTATGGTGCCAACATGCCAACCAAAGCAATGTCAATAACTATGCCTACCAGAAGATCTGCCGCATACAACTCAAATTCCGCCCAAAAATCTTTTCCTCTTTTTTGGACTTCAGCAAATGTCGCACAAAGAGAATCGATGACTATCTGCATCATGTAAAGTTCTAAAACTAAATTAATTCAATATTCAGTACCATGTAAGCTTTAATCATTTAAAGTATGCAGATGCAAATGAAGTACAGCAACCTATTGGCAATAGCATGCATACCACACAAATGCATGCACACATCAAGACTTCCAACAATGACAAACATAAGTTTAGCAAAGTAGAGCTTGTAGAAATGGCCAATATATTAATAATCCTAACGAAATTTGCCATGCTACCTTATAAATGTCACTGCCCGAGGTCATCAAGTCCGGATACGCCATGCGGGAACCATGACAAGCGTGTGCATAGTGGATCACCAGAAAAGCATTCTCCAAAAACATCCTAGAAGACACCATAATGCCCTAGGATAATCTACTGTTCTCTAGATTGTTCTTGTATCTTGTGGAACCTTTATGATACTTGTACTCTTACAAACAATGTAGTAGTGCTTGGAAGCTTCATGAATTTAAATTGTTCCCCAGAGACATGGAGTTCCTGGAAGTTGTGGTTTGTAATCCATTCAAAAGAAAGTGTATCAAGAGTTGAAACAGAGAAAGCATAAACCAATAACTACAAAGTATTCTTCATATATCTGAGTGTCATCAATGTTAACCTAGCGTTCCTTTTTGGTACATTATTTGCAACATTGAAACACAAATGATCCACACTAAGGCCATAGTCCCCAAGGTCCGCTGGAAAAATAAACAAGTCCATAACTCAAAGCAACAACCAAAGACGTCAACAACGCAAAACCATTTTGCTAAGAAAGAAAAAAATGTAAAACCAATTTTTAACAGATTAAATTGACAACATTAAAGAACAGAAAGATCAGAAAACAAACCTCAGTTCCAACTTTAAACAAAAACGATGGATCAGCAAGCATTCTGTTTCGAAGCATTGCACAATACTTCATCAAGAAACCCAAAACCCAGCCTGACCCCTGAACATCAAATTGCCAGTCAAGTACTATACTGATTGGAGTAATTTTTTACATTTTTACACTGAAGATTGAATGTTTACCTGTAAATCCAAGTACCGCGTAAGAATAAGCTTACGAATCCCGGTAGCTTTTGCAGCCTCTAGCATATCCGAAGGGAGATTAACACCTTGTGTTTCAGCCACCTTCATCACCTCCTCAAACTTCATCAACGGTCCAAACTCTTTCTCATCTTGATCGTCCTCGTCGCCACCACCCCCATCTCCGCCTCCACCGCCACCATTACCAGGTGGAAACTTCCCATCTCCATCATCTCCACCACCACTTCCTCGATCAAGTTTTAAGTCGAAAACCTCAGTAACAGTTACAGTCTTTCCTAAATTGTCCGATTTTGCAGATTTCAACTTAACTACATGCAAACTCCGGTCTGAATTAGGATTTCTCGAAATAGGATTCTGGGAAAACAAACAAACCCTATTTTCGAGTGATTTCAAGTAAATCGATTGCTTAGGCGATTCACTTATGCTTGATGAAACACGTATCCTAGAAACGACGAAACCTTGTGAAGAAATCGCCATGGCTTTGCTTGTCACCAAAAATGTTTCCAGAACAATCGCAGTTTTACAGAAATTTATGAATGGTGTATGATCAGACCAGAAATTCCTTGTAGAAGGCGGAAAATTGGCCCAAAGCAGACGATTCGATAAAGAATGATTAAAAGTAAATTAAACAATATTAGAATATAGAAGTACTAACTAAAATTTGACGTTCCTGTCAGTGTCAATTTGCGCGGCTGTAAACGATAAACCCTAAATTGATCCTTTCAAAGTAATTGGGCTTTTTTGAACCAACTATGCTGGCCCAAAACACCGGACCATCCTGTCCGGGTCACCGCTTTCTTCACCAAGACTCCAAGAGTTTGCCATTTTTTTATTTTTATCTTGAATCCTATTCTTATTACATATCTTTTTATTTTTTTAGTTATCTATACTATATTATAATGCATTTGGCTAAAACTCTTAAAAACTCTTAA